CATCACTGCATCACCCATGCTGAACACAGCTCAGTTATAGAATTGGAGGAGGATAGTGGCAAAAACTCAGCCAATGGACGTGCCAGGGACTTTGACAATAGACCACCATAGAAGAATATTAAGTAAGAATGGGCTATAGTCAACTTTGCTTTTTGAAAATCCATTTTGACTCCTGTGTGGGGAATAGGTTGGCAGGAAGCAAGACTGGCTGCAGAGAAATTAGTTAAGATATTTTTGTAGAAATCTTAAGCACAAAGTGATGGTAGCTCTACTAAAGCACCTTTTTGCGAACATTTGCTATATGCTGGGTACAGTGCCATGTACTTTATGCCTGTGGTCTCACTTTCACGCCACAAGAATTCAATGAGATAAGCAGTAATATCCTTAATTTACAAGTGAGGAGGAAACTCAGGCTCAGACATTCGTTTCTTTCCCAAGGTGCTACTTGTTAGGAAGAGGTATTTTCGGGATATAAACCCACATCTGTCTGACCAGAAAGCCTGTGCCCTTACCTCTGTCAGCTATAATGTAAGTGGCACTTAAAATGTTTGTTTTTGAAATCAAAATTGAGACTGCCGAAAGCAAAGTGAAGCTTAGAATGCTCACATAGGTAGGTACAGTGTGACCTGGGAGAGAAAGCAGGATTCTCAGGCTGGGCCTGGGGCGATGGACAGGGGAGGGAATGTCCTGGAAGGAGTAAAAGGAATTCTTGCAGGTCTCAGGCCCTGGGTGAGGTACAAGGTTCATGGGGTGAGGGTGAGCACTGAGTCCCTGGTAAGAAGAGAGAGAGAAGGGAGGAGGGGATGATACTAGGAACCTAGAAGCACCTGCCCTCTTCTGTGTGATCTAGGCTGGCTCTGGCCTCAGGCTCTCAGGGACATTTTTATCTTAGCCTCATCTTGTTTCTTCTGGGTATCTCTAAGGACACATGGGGGTGATGCACCTGCTGATAGAATATGGAGCCAGGCCCTGCCTGGTGACCGATGTGGGCTGGACCCCAGCTCATTTTGCGGCTGAGTCAGGCCATCTGAATGTCCTCAAAACTCTCCACGCGTTGCATGCTGCCATTGACACCCCTGACTTCTTCGGAGACACACCCAAAAGGATTGCACAGATCTATGGGCAGAAAGCCTGTGTGGCCTTCCTGGAGAAGTAAGTTTCATTTTATTCTGGTCATAGAAAGGGCAGAGAAACAGGAGTCTGTGATCAAGGTCTTTGCTGACTCAGTGGTCTGTTGTCAATGAAAATGAAATGAGGAAATCCCACCAGCTGACTATGTTTTCATTAATTTTTAAAATTGATTTATTTTTATTAATTTTCACTGAAATCACTAGTTTGGGGTGAAAATTATATTGATCTATGGTTTTAGATTATACAAAAATTATCTCAGATGAGAGAGTTGGGACACCAACTTTGAATATGGGACACGATACAAGATTCATCACCACCTTCAGCTTTTTGAAAGCTTTTCAAACTAGCTGTGTGACCATGTACAAGTCAAGTCACCTTTTTGACCCTTAGTTTCCTCATATTTAAAATGAGGCGGGTAAATTAAACTTCTATTTTTTTAGGACCCTTCTATCTTTTAAAATCTCTATGTTCCTCTATGAATCCTTTTCCATCACATCTGCCAACAATAAAATCTTGTCTAACATTTGTTCATTCAGCCAAGCATTCAAAGATATTTAAGTACCAATTATGTACATAACAGTTATAGCTCTGAGAGGGATGGAAATAAAATTTAGGAATTTATAAATTGGTTGGGTCAGCAAGTCGTTTGGACAAGAAAAAGTACAGTAAAATAGTGAGGGTGTTGTGGCTTGGAAACCAAAATGAGATAAACAGCAAATCTACCTGCAGGGGCCTCTCATGGTGGGAGAGAGAATGGCGGTGAAATCCCCCCACTATGAACTTGAAAATACAGTTATTTTCAGAAAATTAAACTAGTAAAATCTTTGCCTATGATAAGATTAGTTATTTGTAGAAGTAATTCGAGAACCTCTCTTAAAAGTGGTGTCTCACATTAAAAATATCTAGAATCACAATAGAGGTGATTTGGAGAGTAATGAGGCAGTCCCTTGAGCCACAACTCACAGACTCTCCATCTCTCCAATTTCTTTCACCATCGCCTACATTCAATGACCTCCATCCATTGTGGACCTCAGCATCAGCAGATGTTGTTCTCTGAACTTTCTAAAACTCTAACGCACCATTATATGATCATAACTCCCTTCATTTTATCAGTTCCTGGATCATCACAGGTCTTTGAATTCATTAAGACCTTTTGTCATTCAGCTTCTTCCTATCCCAACCTATCACCAATCTGAGGCTTTCACTAATTTCCCCTGCCATCTGGACACCATGATACACTACTCTCTTCCTGCTATTCTTAACTTCCCAATCCTCTGTCCTTCTGTAGCATATAACCTAGAATTCCCAGCCTTGGATGAGTCTCTGTGTTCTCCAGTCCTATGCTTGGTTGGCTAGAGAAAATTCCACAAATGCATAGGTGAGTATCAACAAAAGTTTAAGATTTCCACCTTTAGCTGAACCCTCAGAGCAGCTTGGTTATCTTTTCCTGTCCTGTACCCTCATTGACAATTCCAAGTCCCCACGAGACCTCAGCCTGTCTCTCAGAGGGTATTCCTTCTACTTCAGAGAGTATATGGAAGCCATGGGGTACACATTTTTCAACTCCTACACCTACAGATTTTATATACACCTATATTAGTTCCTTCTTGCTTTCTTGTCTCTTCTTCTGTGAAAAGTATGGCTACTGGCAGCCAGGCTCAGTTTGCCCTCTTGCACTAAACAAATGACTCAAAAGTCCAAAAGTTGGTGCAAGGATTGGAAGGTTTATTTAGATAACCATCATCTGGGGGATGACCAAGCTAAAATCATCCCACCTTCTGATGCCTGTTCTAGGGTTTATGAAGGGGAAGATGTGGGAAGGTGAAGTATGGGTTTTGTCCTGTAGGCAAACGGGGTGGCTGATCATGGGATCAGCAGGGGGTCTGAGTCAGATGTCAGGGTCCCATGATGGACTAGGTGCTTTGGTGTCATGGAGCCTGCAGTTGGTGAGCTGGTCAGTTTCAAACCAGTTGGAGTCCTTATCTCCTAAGGAGAGCTCAAAGACAATAACCTCAGTCGGGCATCACTGGAACATAAAAACACCTGACTCGTATCTCTAACTAATGTGGATGCAATTTTCCTTTAAGCAAGAAGGTGAGTTAATAGCAAGAGTGCTGTGCCTTTCTCGTGGAATTCCTTTGTTTGCAGTTGATTTAGAGAGGTAAGAAAAACAAGAGAACTTAGTTTCAATCCTTAATTATAGGTGCACAACATCTAAAGTAAATCAACATAAGAGGGTGTAATGGGAGACAAATAGAAATAAACTTTTGAGAAGGGTACTTGTGAGGCATGATTTCATCTCCTGGCAGTTTCAGACGTATGTTCAGTTTCTCATTTCCTCTGCTAACTTTAAGGAGTTGATGATTACCAGTTCCCAAGTTAATGGCTAACTGAAATTTTCTACTTTGTCCTAGGTACCGCCAAAATGGCCCTTCTCAGACTAAGGGCCCTTCAGTATTATTCCTCCACCTAGACCCCTGACCCGTTATGTCTTCACAAGACCATCATTCCTGCATTCTTTGTTGTATCTTCATTCTCTCTTCTGTATTTTTAGTTTTTTCCTATTCCTTCCCTTGACTTCTTTTTGGGCTGTGAGCATGTTCAAATGGATCTTATTAAACAAACAAACAAAACTTAGAGGCCCCTCTGACTTCTTCTGTATCTTTCTTCTTCCCTAT